GACATCAGCTTTCCTTCAAATCAAACCGTTGTTTTTGTGAAAAAAGAGTAATAATTTTGATGTATTTGTCTTCCAAAAAATTATTTCGCATTCAATCCATAAATATCAACTTTATTCTATTAGATAGGTTAAGTTATTGTAGTAGTTGGTTCGTATTCTAAAATTGATTTGTAATTTTAAATTTATATCCAACTAATTCACTGTGTTTTATTCATTTTAAAAAGTTGAATCAAAAGTTTTAAAAAGTGTGATAGTGGTGTGTGAATGGGGAAGAAGAAAAAGTTGTGATGTCTGGTTTATGTGTAAAACTGGTGCAGAGAAAAGTGAATGTGATTATGTTGAGTTAGATTGTAGAAGAGGGTTGGAGTGGCAGTGACATTGGTAGCGTCCAAGTCGGAGAATTGGGTTTGTTCAAGCCATGGAGAATGCCCTTAAAGTTCCAAAGAACCCTAATCAACCCCCTTGACAAAGAAAAGAAAAGTTTCCACTCTTTTAAAAGCATAAAAAAGTTGTGCTGGAGTTTTAAAAATATTTAATTTTAATTCAAAAAAATATAATTAAACACATGGAAACCACCTGTCACAGAGTGAAAGCCAAGTGGAACGTTGTTTGTCACATGGGAGAAAATTTAACACGTTGGAAATGAGGAACTAAAACCATTTCTTTTGAAAGTAAGAAGACCAACAAAATCAAAATTGAGTAGGGACCATTTGCAATTTTTCATCATAGTTGAAAAACCAAAAACATATTTAACCCTTCATTATATTCCTCTCAGGTTTTCTCTTCTCAACATAATACGAAAGCAATATCACCTTTTGTGACTTGTTTTCTCACTATTCCTTTCAACATGATATCAAGAGGAGAAGCAAATTCAATTTGTCTTCTCCTGGTGAGTCCACGGCTCTTAGGAGTAAATATTTGAGAATCCAGCATGTTTTATGTTTCTATTGTTTTTTTCCTTCTATCACTGTTTAAGTTGTGAATGCACTACTCACTGAAAGTGTTACGGTTCATTGACAACAACTTTCTCATAAGCTTTTCAGGGAATGTTATTATTTACAATGACAACTTTCCAACAAGTGTTTCTTCCAAACTAACAATTATTTGTAATGTTAACATGTTAGGAAGGGAAATATTGAGAGAGAGAGGAAGTGCATTATAGAAGGGAATTTGAATAAAACAGGTAAAGTGGTTAGTTGTTTTGGGGGAGAGATTTCTCAAAACGTCTATAAATAGTTTCCCTATGGGAGGTGTTAGGGAGCTATCTTTTTGGTATTGAAAGTCTTTGACTTTCGTACAGGGAATACCCTAAACTGAAAGGAAGCTTTTTACTTTGTAAACATTGTTCTTTTACAGCTGATACGTGAATAATTCAGTTTGGGAGTTTATCTCTGATTCTTCTTTGCTTTGTTTATCTGGTCTTTGTTTCAAGGTTCCCAACATAACATTTATTTGACGATTGTTGTTTACCGCCAACATTTTTCCAATGCGCACCATTTAGTTGCCAATGTTTGTCTGGGGTGTAATCCTTTGACATTTTTCCAAAATGTATTGTTTACCACAAACGTTTTCCTAGATAGTATTGTTGACGTTTTTTTGGCAAGTAGCATCTACCAACATGTTTTTCTAACAAGTATTGTCAAGTTTCTCTAACCATATAAATGTTCAGCTTGAGGAGGGGTGTTAAAATATGATTTGAAAGGATGAAGTACATGATGATGATTGTCACTTTGATATAGAGACCGTTCATGTTCTGGAAATGTGTACAAGCTTTGTCATTATTTACTTTGTCAACTTTGGCAACCAACTAGTAGACATGTTTGCTAAGTCTCTCAAGAGATCTTATGTTGATGACATTTGTAACAAGTTTGTCTAACATGATAATATATACTCCATCTTGAGTAAGAGTCTTAGAGATATGATTTGGTTACATTAAATAGGTTACCAAATATTTTCCATTATTAGACATTGATTTCATTCCTTATTATTGTATCTCTTTTCCATTATAAACAAAAATACCAATGTGTGTACCTAAACACGGAATTCATTATATATCTATATTCCTTATCTGTTTTCCCCTTTCAAAGTGATATCATACTCAGACCTGTTTTGTCATAATCCTTTCAACAATAGGAATATACAACTCCTAAATAGAATATATATTTCATTCCTCTCCATATGTTGGAGCAACATTGATATTTGTCTCCTAAATAAAATTCTATCATATCTCCATTGAATAACAAGTATACCAATACCCACCCAAATATTAATTAAATTACAGAAATAAAAATAAAAGTGGAAGAAGCATGATATTATCAAGAACTCAATGCCAGAAAGACAATTTTTCTTCTCTCTAATGCTAAATAACAACGAAGAATTCTAATTGCATAAATTTCAAAATAGAGTACAAAATAAGGTAAGAATATTTTAGTAATTTAAAACAGAGAAGGAGTGGGGACAAGACAGATAGTACACACTAATTCTCTCCCAATAGTCAATTTAAAATCACATATATATGCAGACTCATACTCATACCCAGTCAATCCTAGTATTCCCATCAACTTTGAGACATTCAGACACATTTACACTTAACAATGAAAGTGAGATGAACAATATTAAGAGATAGAGATGCTAAAGAAAACACAAGAAATACATAAAGTAACAAAAACAAGATAAAAAAACTCAAACAAAACTACTGAAATAATTAAGAATGTACGATTATTGAAACCAAACTAATATTATGAGTTGTAGCTTAGTTAGTATAAAACGAAATGAAATATATGGAACCACCTTACAGCATTCAAACTAGCACTCATTTCAAGATTTCTATCAGACGTAATTTGTGGTAGACATGTAATATTCCAGCAGGATCTATGAATCTGTTCTAACCATCTTATGTACAGGGACTTTCAATGGTCTTGAACCTATCATCATAAAAGTTATGATAAGCCAAAAACAAAAGGTATGCAACATAAGACACAAGAAATGCATCAAACCTGTTGGAATAGGGCTGAGGTCAACCTCCATACTTATATTAATACGAGGTAGTGAGATTGTGTCTGCCATAGTAGAGAAGTTGCAAAGAAAAAAGTGTTTGAATAATGAGAAAAATTATGAATGCAGACCAGAATATGGATTCATGTTGCATAAACCATTAATTACTAGAAATGAAGAGATGTTTTAGTATTTACAGTTGATACAGGATATGTTCATGAGATAAAGGTTGGGGATAACTTGATACATGAATATTAATTCAAGAACTGTTGGAGCATATAATTAAGTAGAACTTTAGTAAAGTTTGGTTTCATTTAAAGAAAGAATCAACCTGATTATTAGTTAAAATAAAGTGATAGAGGACACGACCATACGAAAGGTTTAACTAAATTGAAAAAGCCTAAAAAATTCAAAAATTGAGTTATGGAGACCCAAGAACGTCAAAAACCATTTAAATGCATGAAGCTGACTTTGGTTTCTGTTGGAATCAAAAGACATACAAAGCGTTTTAGGCTCTTTTGTATTCCTACCGCTCTATAATGGTTAATACTCTTTGATTTGCAATGTTCATGTTCCTGTGCTCCAACTATCATACATTCACTCCGAATTATCTATTAACTAACAAGTTATCTTGTGTTGGAAAATTTAGAGACCTAGTAAAAAACACAATGCTTGGGCAATAAAGTTATCATTGCTTTAAATAAAAAAACATAAAGAATGTTTGTTGTAACCAATTTTAGGTAGGTGGAAATACTTCATGTTCGAAGGAATTAGACATAGCTCAATTTATGAGTGAATTGATATAAAATCTATTATATTTTCTTCTATTTCCTTTCCTAACACTTTAGCTTCAAACAAATCCTGTGTATGCATGCATATTAACGTCATCCATTGATGAAAAAGTTTTCAAAGTTTAATTACACAAAAGCCATCCCCCCTTCATGTCCACCTTTATTTCTTTCATGTATCTTACAAAGTGTTTTAGGTGTAACTACACTATAAAACCAGCTTGTTTATATTGCATCTTGTCGCTATCTCTAGTTGATAAGGGATTTGGGTTTTCCCTAATACATCCCCTCACGTTCCAGTACAATTAGATTTGGTGTACATATATAACATGTATGATACTGTCATAGAAAGTGGTTTAGGTATAATTGAACTCTACCTTATAAGGTCAGAATTGCCCCCTATACATATTGTAACTATCTCTAGAAGATATGGGGCTTGAGTTTTTCCCAATATACCCCCTCTCATCCAGCACTATTGAACTTGGTACGTGTACAACATTAAATACCCCTTTTAATGGATATAGGATAGGCTTTGAAACCATCTTAGAAAATGGTATATAAGGGAGAAGAAAGATATGATTAAAAAATATACAAACAAAACCTTTTCTGTTTACCCATTTGTCTATATCAACCATCTACCATAGTTTTAAAAAATATAGGTTTCCACCTATCTCAAAAACTTCAATAAAAAAGAAATAGGGAACCAAATGGCTGAAACTAACTAAAACAAAATAAATGAAGGATTGCAAAAGCACCACCGTTTTATGGTTTAATCTTAGGCAGCAAACAATAATGTCAGCCTTCCTAGCAAAGATCACGTTCTATCATCTTCAAAAAAAAAAATAAAGAACATCTAATGAAATAGATGAAAAAATTAGGCTTTTTACAAGTTATGGTCCACAACAATTGGAAAGGAAGAAACTTCTGCTTAATTTGCTAGCGTCTTGCGCGTATGAAGCCAGCTACGCCTTGTAGTCGTAAGGCGTACATCAAATGCCTGTAAACGCTTTGCTAAATCCATTCCAATATTCCCAAAAGCCCAAAATGAATATCTACATTATCATTAAAAATTAGTTTTCTACAATCAGTAAATCAATTCTACTGATTTTCCTCCTATTCTGTTTTATTGTTTTTCTCAAACACTTTAACTGACTCACTTACTATCCAAACTAGAACAAATTACAAAGCTTTGTCAATCCAAATTATTTTTTCAAGGGATGAAATGAAATTACTTGTCAGTTGATAATTACTAAATTGATGATAAAGTTCATTTAACCACACAATCAAGTATTGTGTTTAGATGACATAGGATCTAAAGTAAAAACAGAAAACTAATTCCAACAAGGAAACAAAACAAAATGATCAGCCATGTGTTGCCACCACATTATTGACCACATTATTGAGACATAAGTGTTGTGTTAAGGTTTGATAATGGTAACGGACACACCAGACTCACCTGCTTATGCTCTATCCCTAGTGAGAACCACCTTTAAGAAGGCGACGTCATCGATAGCGATGTTAAAATCTTCGGCAGACCCGAGAATAATCGGTGAGAAATTCCTCTGCTTTGACTTCAGAGATAACGTCCGGGAGCACCTCGTTGACGATGGTGACAAATTCCTGAGAGACAATGTCTTTCATCACCTCGTTGACCACGCTAGGAAAAATTTTCTTATCATAGGCATGGTCTTGCTCTATAGCATTTGCTCTTCTTCCATGTGGAGGATACATGTAGCAAGCAAGCAACAAATCAATAATTACATCAGATCTAAATTTTATATGCAATTTGTTTTAGAAGAATTAGAATTGACATGGATACAATGAGGTATTAAAAGTTGTTCTGTAAGACACAGTAAAATATCTATAATCTCCATCATCCAAAGTTACAAATAGTTAGTTTATGAGTGCACCTTCTCCGGGAACTTCTCACGGTTCATTGATGCTTCAAAATAGTCTCCAAAATCTATGTGTAAAATCTTCCCACTGCAAAACATCACAAATATTTGACGCCCGAAAAACATAACTAGTGACAATATACCAAAATTTCTTTATCAAATGCTACCTAAACCCTAGGTATTTTTAACATACAAAACAAATCAACATCACCAAAAAAAGAAAATGAGAAAATAAAAATAACCAACTTGATATTCGATGATAATTCGAGAAAACAGGGCAAGAATTTGAAGAAGCACATACCCTAGCAAGAGCAGCACATAGAACGGGCTTGGAGCATTCCAATTCGAACAATATGCGTGCATCCTCAGTCTGGTGAACAAAAACCTTCTCCTTGGCGACCATAAAAAAGTGGTCACTGGGCGCATTGAACTTGACCAGAGTAAGTTCCTTGTTGAGGCGCAAGCATCAGTTGCAGCGGCCGCGGACGAAATTGACGACGGCAAGGCAGTTGTCACGGGCAACGGTGATGGCGCGTTGATTGGACGAATGTAGGGCGAGGTCGTTGATAGCAGCATTGCGGTGGACGGAGACCATGGTAAAAGCCTTCCGCGCTCCACACCGATCATCTACTTTGACTTCGCTGGTTCGAACTTTTCCGATCAGGTCCAGCTTCCGGTTAAGTGGCAGTCACGAAGTTCTTCCTTTTTTTTCTTTCTCGCATTCTCTCCCAACCCTAACCTTAGCACGCACACGAAGAGTTCCTCTTTCAAAATCAAATGGACGACCTGACAAATTCAAATATGAGAGAAGATCCTAATGGAGCAGCTCCCTTCATTGAAACGTAGAGTTTCATTTATTTTTCTACCAAACTAGGGCATGCAAATGACAAATTTACCCTTTCTGACATTGACACTGAATGGGCCCCACTGCGTGTCAAATGAATGTCATTTACTTAAAGCGTGTCAAAGTATTTTTTTTTTATATTTAAACGTGAAGTCTTTTTCTTTAAAGATTTGAAAGTAAATATATTTAATCCAAAATTTTTAAGCCCGATAAGAGTTCGTTACTAATTCTAATTCTAGTTGATTTTATTATATTTTTAAATAATCATTAATGTTTTTTAATACAAAATAAACTAATTTACATTCTAATTGATTTNTTCTCTCCCAACCCTAACCTTAGCACGCACACGAAGAGTTCCTCTTTCAAAATCAAATGGACGACCTGACAAATTCAAATATGAGAGAAGATCCTAATGGAGCAGCTCCCTTCATTGAAACGTAGAGTTTCATTTATTTTTCTACCAAACTAGGGCATGCAAATGACAAATTTACCTTTTATTACATTAACACTGAATAGGCTTCACTACGTGTCAAATGAATGTCATTTACTTAAAGCGTGTCAAAGTATTTTTTTTTTATATTTAAACGTGAAGTCTTTTTCTTTAAAGATTTGAAAGTAAATATATTTAATCCAAAATTTTTAAGCCCGATAAGAGTTCGTTACTAATTCTAATTCTAGTTGATTTTATTATATTTTTAAATAATCATTAATGTTTTTTAATACAAAATAAACTAATTTACATTCTAATTGATTTTATTATATTTTTTAATAATCATTAATTTTTTTCCAATATAAAATGAAAATGGGAAAAACGTTGTACACATGTGTCAGTTATATCCGTGCGATACGCAAGAGATATTATAAATATATTAATATTTAATTTTAATTATACATATTATATCTAAAAAATTAATTAAATATATTGCAATTAAAAAAATTAATATAATAACAACCAATAAATTAATAAATGATTAAATATTTTTGTAGAATAATTTTAGATGTTAAACATATTGAATAAAATAAGTGATCTTTGTGAAAAAAATATATGGTATATTATTTGTAATAAATAATTACATTTTTATATGATAAATACTTAAATATTTAGAAATTATTGAATTATAAATGATAAGTATTTATTATTTGATTTGAACTTAATGTTGCATAATAGAGAGTAAAAAAAATATATAAACGTAAATAAGTTATAAAGATGGATAAAGTTCATTATCCTGAATTTTATATAATCACTTATGTATGAATAGATTTGAAAAATAGAAAAAGGTTAAACTACTTATTTACGTGATTTTTTTTTAGTAATTGAGTTCTTGCCGTTAAATTGGCTTTAATAGATTAAGTATTTTATAACCTGACATTGACGTGATAAGTTTATTATACGTGACATTAGAACATGTTGTTACGTAAAGTTTTATTACATTATATATTTAACAATTAGGTTTTTTTATAATTGAAACCTAAATTAGGATTCATTATCTTCAACCCTAATAATTAATGCTTAGGGTTGATAACGAAATTAGGGTTCATAAACCCCAAATTTTTTTAAATATGAAATTAAGCACCACCAAATTCCAAATTAGGGGTTTATATAATCAACCCAATGAAGACCAGCTTTTTCTAGCACTATCCGAGACCCAACATTCTTTCCAAAATTGTCCTTCTAAACAAATTCCACCTTTTTAAAAAAACCTTTTAAAACCAACCAATGAAACAACGCCAGGTGGCGTTGTAAAAAAGTTGGCAAAATATAATTGTTAAAGAAACGTTTTCCAAATATATATAATCCAAATGTGTTAAGCCCGAGGATCGCGATATTCTAACAACGCAATTTTGACAAAAATTTGACAACGCCACATGTGAGCGTTTTATTAGGTCATTTAAATATATTTTTTTTTTTAAAATCTGTTTTTGAAAAGGGGTCAAACTTCTTTTTTGAATATCCCGAAATCACCCTTCTTCATTCAGCACTATCCCATCTCTCCAATTTAGGGTTTTCATTCTCAATTTGAACTTCTCACTCTCCATTTGGTGAAGTTTTCTCTGGACCCGTTGAAAAATCTCTCTCAACCCATTCAAGAATCTCTCTCTCAACCCGTTCAACAATCACCGTCGACATTCAACAATGTTCGTCATTGGTGGCCCCATTCGAAGGCTATTTTTGTCTCTAGAGTTCGTGATTTGGGCGACTTACGTTCAGCGATCTCTGTGGTTGGTCTGTTCGATGTTGATTGTGTCGAAATTGTGAGGTTTTTTTGTGTGCAATGGGTTCATCCAGTGACATTGCTGCTTTGATTAAGGTATGTAGTTTTTCCGTTTTCCATATTCGTATTTTGGGATTGGGTTATTGTTTTTCGCTTTTGTTGGTCATGTTGATGGGTATTGGTTTTGGGTTTTGAGTTGTGTTGGTTAATGTTAACAAATATATATTATTTTTTTGTGCAGTTGTTTGTTTGTCATTCATTGAAAATCAAGTTTGTTACTGGTTTGAATGAAATTTTGAGTGAGGAACACAAGTCCATTATTTCGAAGATGCAATTTGGATGGTTATTAGAATCATTTACGAATGTTTGCAACGAACAAGACTCTACTGCAATGAAATAATTATTTAGTCATATTAATGGATGTTTGCTTTCTTATGCAGGTCAATTTGAATCATTTACGGATTACTGTACTAATTTTACTATAAGTCGTACTTTTATTCAGGATCACTGTAATATGATGACTATTTTATTTTGTATTGATATGGTTTTATGCTATTAACGTAAACACCATGGAGAGATCAATATGAAAGAAATCTTAGAGTATTGTATTAAATTTGGTATGTTTATGTTTTTACCATTTTAAGAATGCACAATATGAAGTCCTGCTCACCAATGGGGAGCTCTTCTTCCACAGCAGGGGAGCGACGCTATACTTTCGGTAAAAATTCGTGATTTTCTACTAGTAAGCGATTATATGCTACTCATAATCGATTACACACGCATATAACTACCTATGCTCCTCTTCCTCACAACACCACTTGGATGCAATCATAAGCAACCAGTTTTGTGGACACCCTAAGTCCTTTCAACCACTACTAAGTACATCCACACGTCCTTGGTCATACAAATCAACCAACCAAGTAATGATCTTTCAATAAATTTCACCAAATTAGGTCCAACCCCTCAATGGGGAGCTCTTCTTCCACAGCAGGGGAGTGACGCTATACTTTCGGTACAAATTTGTGATCTTCCACTGGTAAGCGATTACAAGCTACTCGTAATCGATTACACTCGTACGTCATAAAATGCTTAACCTATTATGATGTACTTTTCTGCTACATCATAAAATGCACAAACATATTATAATGTCAATCCATCTGTCATAACATGTTATTTTTACTCGTCATAAAATGTGATTTTTTCACTAGTGGCTGCTTTCAACTTCTAATAGGAGTAACTCACCGTCAAATTACCAAATTGTTTAAGAAAACTTTACTTTTGAATTGAATTGATGAGAATGGCATGAGAACCTAAACATTGGGAACTGAAAGGAAAAACCAAGGGTTTTTATTTCCAATATTTTGCATGGAAAACTTATATGTGATGATGGTATCCTTGTAGTAATAATGTAATTGTTTGGGAAATTAGTGTTTTTATTAGTTTGAAATGTTTTTCAAGTATTTTAATTTAAGTATAAGATATTTGAGAATGGGCTTATTATTTTTATTATTATTTTCGTACTTTTTGTATTATATAAAAGATTATAACTATTGTATTATATTAAAATTTAAAACGGATATTAGTTTTGTGTTATACTTTTTTTTTGAAATATTTATCACCTCAGGTTACATTTTTTGTTATCTCCTTTATATAGCAGGTCTGGTAGGTACTAATATACTTTATGTTGGAACAACCAGTATCGTAGAGTCGCGCAGTGGAATAAAAATTACAGAATAGCGGAAAGCATGTTCGATCACAACTCAAGTTAAGATGGTCAATTTTTTTTATAAAATTAGTTTTCTTAGAGAAAATTTATCGAACAGTTGATTTGAGAAAATATAAAGAGTGTAAGGAGTAGAAAAATTCACACACAGAATTTTTATCCTGGTTCGAATCAAAAGATTCTACGTCCAGTTGTTAATCACTATAAAAAGTGATTAACGCTTTTCACTAAAAGTTTGTTCAACAGATTACAATAGAGTGAAAGAGAATATAATGATAAAACCTTCCTTCGACGAATGAACCGGAAGGGTGCTTCCTTCGACCAACGAACCGGAAGTGAGCAACCACACTTTCATTCGACCAACGAACCGGAACAATGCTGTTAGAATCTTCCTTCGACCAACGAAATGGAAAATAGCAGCGTTGCCAACTCGAAGAGAACCACTCCGACCTTTGATACACAAAGCGTGATCTTCTCCTATTCACGAGACTAGGCAATGCAATGAACCAACTTTTTTTAGAACTTCCTCAGTTACACTGTATTCTTAAAAAGCTCAGTGTTACTTTCTAAAGTGTTTGGCAAAGGTATATATAAAGCCTACTGGTCTGAAAATGAAAAGACGCATTACAACTGCCAGTGATAATCGATTATCGTAAGTAATAATCGATTATATGCGAGACTTGGAACAATTTGGATTTTTTTAACTCTTCAACCGATCGACTCGAGTTCTTCATCTTCTGCCGCTCGGTTTTCAACTATGTTTGGCCTGAGCCCTTATCACCTTTTGTCGTTCGGCTTGGTTACTTATATCTTTCCAACGTTCAATGCTAATTGCTTGGTCTCAGTCATTCCTCGCTACCGCTCGGTTCAATACTTGAAAATTTTCCAACTCTTAACCTTTTCTTCTATAGTGTTAGTTGGACACAATATCGTTCGACTTGTTTGACACCGTTCAATCTTCAACTACTATGCTCCATTCAGCCTTTTATCAATGTTCAACCTTCAACTGTGTTCAACATCGTTCGGTCTTTTACTGCGTTCGGCCTTCAATTGTTACACTTCGTTCG